AGCCAGTGCACCTCCCACGAAGAGCCACGCGAAGGCGGAGCCGGATACGCCCTCAAGGAAGGTCTCCACTGACAAGCCACCGCACCCAAAGGACCACGCGAAGGCGGATTCCGAAACTTCCTTAAGGAAGACGTCCACTGTCAACACGAAGAGCCACAAGACGGAGTCCGATACTCGCACGAGGAAGCTCTCTACCATGAATAGCGTCGTCTCCGACTCTTCCACTACTACTGCTGCCAGCACTATTTCAGCACCCACCGTCAGTCTCAAGGATTGCCTGGAAACCTTTACTAAAAAGGAAGACTTGGACGGCGATGACATGCCGGTAGGCCAATTTTTCATTTTATTTAATATGCTATGGCTCAGTCCAAACTCTTCTTTCTAGTAAATATAACCATACTATAACATACTTTGTATTTAAACGTTAGCAACTCGCGTACACTGAATGCTCAAGTTAGACCTTCAATTGAGTTAGATTTCATGTGTTTTTATACGTGAATAATACTAATGAGACTAATAGTACCTTACTACTACTACTAATAATGCTAAATTTATCAATGCTACTATCACTACTACTACTGCTACTACTACTACTACTACTACTGATAATACTCCCACTTTAACTACTATCAAAACTACGAATTTTAATACTACGACTAAAAATATGCATACGACCATTACTATGACCATTTTTTTACTATGATTACTACCACCACCACAGATACTATCACCATTAATATAATTTGGTTTGCTACCTTTGCTTCTACTACTGTCTCTACTAAAACTGCTATTACCATTACTGTTTCTATCACTCCCACAATGATTACTACTGCTGTTTCTTAAACTAATATTAATGCCATTATGATTACTTATACTATTACTTCCACTACTATCCTCACTAGTACTAATACTAAAATATTGCTACTACCATTAGTACTACTTTCACTACAATTGCTTCCACACCTACTCGTATCACAACTTCCAGTACAAAAACTATTACTTTTACCACCACTACCACTATTACCACCATTCCTGTTACCTCTACTACTACTACTACTACAACTACCGCCACCTGAGACGTTAAAACTGTGATATTATGTAATATTCCATGCATGTCCTGATATAGGCTTCAGTGAATACGAGCGAACATGCGAGTCCCAGGAAGTAATTGTTCAAAAGATGCGATTGCTGAGACAAGACTTATTTTCACTTGACGTTTCGACATCCAATGCTACGGCTTTCTGCGGCCACATGTCAAGCAAATAAAAGTCTTGACCCAGCGACCGCCTCCTCCTCTTCTTCTACTATATATGCTATTGTAATAGGGTGTAATGGGGTCACTGCGATTGAACGCTGTCCACCGGCAATCAGTAGTATAACTTCTGTGTTGTGTGTCGTGTTAGTTCGACCACCGCAATCGGTGATGTCTACCATTTGCCAGAGACCAGGGCTGATGACTACGGCCAGCTATAGAGAAAGTAGAGTGGCCGCCATCTCTACCTCACTCTATACCTTCACCCGCTTGAAACGGTGACAAGACAAATCGAGATGACCATGCAGGGGATCAGGCGAAAGCTGCTTTCTCCAGCTGCAGTCAGAAACACTGTCTAACTTAGCCTT